TATCGTTTCGATGGCAAATATATATACTATTTTCTCAAAGGCGGGAACATCAGTGGTCTGGTTTAGTTTCGCAATGATACTGATAATAACAAACATTACTATTATTGTTTTTATTGTATGCTGAATAAATTGCAAACCAATTGTCTAATATATTCGAAATAGTATGAGATGTACGAATAAATGCTTAAAGGGGCGACATTTCAACAAGACGAAGGGAGGTGAGGTGCCTTTGCTCCGTATACATTTTTACGGGTAGTAGGGAGATGAGATCAGAGCACCTGGTTAAATATCGGACTGGTTCGAGGTGCAAATGGGAGTGAGGCAGGGGTGCATTCTCTCACTATACCTATTCAATAAATAGGCAGAAAATATAATTAGAAATTTCAAAAATGACCAAACTTGTGACAGTTATGATCCACTCAAAATTGGTGGCAATTTTATTTCAGAACTTCGCTACGCAGATGACACAGTCCTCCTTTCGAACAGCGTAAATGGAATACAAAATTTAATATTGTCTGTCCAAAAGCACAGTGAAGATCAAAATCTGTTCTTGAATTTTTTATTGAAAACGAAAATAATGTCCCCAGATAAAACTGGCTGTCACTCAAAAATAACAATAAATGGTGAAGAAATTAAAAATGTCACGCACGTTGAATATCTAGGCTATATAATAAACAAAATGGAGACTGCTTGACAGAAATTACAAGGAGGATGGCCATAGCAATGCAAAGATTAAACAGCCTAAAATGTCTTTGGTTAAGCAACAGCAAGGAGATCAAAATAAGAATTTTGAGAGCATGCATCTTCCCTGGAGCAACATACGGATGTAAGTCGTGGACTTTCTCCCAGTCCTTAAGAAGGAGAATAAGGACTTTTGAGCTAAAATGCTATAGAAAGACTCTCAGAATATCTTGAACCAAAAAGGGGAGAAATACTGGCATCTTGAAAGATCTGAACATCAGGGAAGATTGGCTAATAAACAGCATCATGTCTCAGAAGCTGAAATATTTTGGTCATTTCAAGCGCCACGGCGTATTGAAAAAAAAAAAAAAATTATAGCAGAAGGCATGGTACCAGGAAAGAGGGACAAAAGCCGACCGACACGAAGATGGGCACAGAATATAAGTGACTCCTTGAGAATGAAAGTAGTCGAGGCGGGAGAGCTGGTGAGAGACCAAGTTTCTTTCAGGCAGACTGTGATGGGAGCGACGTTCTGCAAAGGACCTGCTACATTATGATGATGAGGGAGATGAGGCCCCCCCCACCCCACGTATATAATATTGGCAGCGGGGTTGGGGGGGGTGGGGGGGGGGGTTCAAGGTTCCTTGAACCCCGAAGTTCTGTCGCCTTTGACGTACGTTTGAATAAATGTTTGTGCCCCAGTCATTGTGTCCTATCTTTCCTCGAACACAATCAGACCCCAATCTATTTATGATTCTCATTTCTCAAAAGCTACTCCAGATGTTGCCGGCGGCTCAACTCTTCAGTCTCCAGAAGTAGCATCTGGTGTCTGGCATCAGTTGGAAACAAACAATATTTAATCATTGTAGTCTGTCTGGCCTAATGAGGAGGGGGACAGCGACCATCACGTGGCACGTACGACCTTTTTGTTTAATGTAGGTCACACATTTGTGGGTATCAGGAAGTCCTCGTGTGTTAAACTTCTGCCCTGTAAATCATTAGGAGTGACCAACGCAACGATAGTGGGCTACTAGTCGATCGACAAGCTGTAAGAGGTATCCCTCAGTGGTATGTAAAGTAAGTAAAGGGACCCTTTTCCACTCCTTTAGGGGTATAAGGCATATAGGGCTAGACCTATATTTTACACACCAATTGACATAAGATTGGTGATGTGGTCAGCATCATAACGGCCGCCTTTACTCCCCGGGACTGCACCAGGTACAAACTCAAGGCTGAGTTGACCTGGGAGCCAAGGTTTTTTTTTTTTTGGGGGGGGGGGGGGGGGTCCGGCTCCGCTAAGAAGCGAACCCACGACCTTCCAATCCGCAAGCGAGCGTCTAGCCGCTCCGCCAGGGCGACTTCCCTCAGTGGTACTGGCCTTTATGTTTTCCCTCTTAGGTCAACGATTAGTCTAGTCTATAAAATAGACAGCCAGGTATTTTTGGAATAAGAAGAACCACTGAAACCTGAAAAAGGGTCGGCTACCACTAATATACATGGTATTCATTTAATATTAATTTCTGTTGAGCGCTTTATGAACATCATCCCGTATAACCGCGTGTCGTTTGGTTACCAGTCGCTGTTGACTTCTGATCAGAGTCCTCAACCTTTGATGGTCAGATGTGAAGGACTTCATGGTTGCATGCCTAAAACCTGTCCAGTCAGTCAAGTTCTGTTTCCAGGTCTTTCTTGGTCTGCCTCTTTTCTACTTCTCCCCCATTGAGCCCTGTAGTATTGTTTTTGACACGGCCTTCTCTATTTATTTATTTATATACAGAAGGACCTGGTTTTTGAGAGGCTGATAGATCTTATTACTTGTCCCTACCGTTCTATTTTCCGTCTTTTCACTGTAGTTAAAAGAGGTTCGTAGTTGCCAATGAACTGGGTAATTATACGGCGAACCTCGTCATTTATAATGTGGTCTCTGTATGATGTGCACAGAATTTTTCTGAAAGATAAGTTAATTAACTGAGCTCATTATATATCAATTGCAATTTCATTGGATATACAAACTGGTTTGTATTGTTTCGATATTCAGACGTGCACATATGGATAGTTTCGTCTTAGATATACATTTTCTCCATTAGTTAAACTGTGTAGACTCAGATTATCAGTGTGTATTATCGCGTGGAGATTTTATTTGAGTTCAAGTCGCTAGAGGCGAACTTTCACTTTTGTTAGATGGGGTGCTTGACGCGTGGCCTGCTTAGACACGATTTTGATTGTTAATGTGTTTTTATTTGTGAACCACGTGAGTTTTGTGTTCAGTAAAATAAACAGATGTTGAATGTGAGAGTTGTATTCATTTGCTTGATTAAAGACCCAATTTGTAGTCTGTGCACGTGGTTTGCCTAGGCTTTGCTTGTGTAGTAGTAACATGTAGTTGTAGTTAGATGTTATTGTTCTGCAATACAATTATTCACATATCCTTTGCTATACGCTTTGTCACATACAATACCTATCGCTAATTTAAGTCAAACAGAAAATATCTAGCGGTGAAAAACAACACTTGTCTTGTTTAAAGTCTCCACACAACACTCCCAAAATACTTCATTGTTTCGTCTCAAGTCCAATCATTCAGACCTTGTCCGTTCAAACCCCCATGATCTCGCGAGTGATTATCTCCCGTGGTTACGGTATTCTGTTGGCAGACTTTGTGTGTCCCTGAACATCCGGTCACATCACGGTCAAGTGAGTGTTAATCTACTTTTTTATCACCACCATAGTTCGATATCTCATAGCCACACAGGACTCTGACAGACTCCCTTGCTCTAGTTTCGACAATGGTGTCCCCAACCGACCGGTCGGTAGTAATGACAAATAACTGAATGCAAAATTGCATACATAAATCACAAACGGCCTTAAAAAATTTACATCGTTTCTGCACTGTCCTTTAAATGCAAAGGAATGCAACTAGCTAGAGAAGTCTTGGCATACCTGTATTATTTAATAGGCAGAAAGATGGGGCGGGGGAAAGGGAGAGGCGAAAAGGGGGAAGAGGAAGAAAAAGGGCGAACAGGGGAGAAGAAAGAAGAGGATGGGGAGGACGATGGAGATAGTAATGAGAAAGAGCAGACGTATTTTATTTCAGTGGTTGAAGCAATTACATTGTTATTATTTGCAATATTATCATATTCACATCTTCTGAGTAAAGTGTATTTCAATTATCTCCATAACTCATTACTAAAGATAGCATCTCTTGTGTAGTGATATCATGCAAGATTCCAATTCTTGTGGCCTGGGTTCGATTCCGGGGTGGTGCATTTTTATTTTTACAAACACGGTTGCTGAAAAATTTTGGTTCAAATCCAATCGGGTCTAATGTTTGCTCTACAAAAACCACTTGATCATCAGGTCGTTTCGTTAAAAATGCCTAATAGGTAAAGTCGTGGTGAAGTAAAGGTGGCCGGCGTGATTGTAACCATATCCCCCTCCGAGGACTGATTAATCTGTAAAAGATACGTCTAGCACCATATGCCTTTTCTTTTTTCTTTCTGTTCGTCCCAATGACGTAATTTGTTGTGTCTGTTTACAGCAAAGTTGCCATCTTTGCCCCTTTCGGCCGTCACAGTCGACTTTATCGAGCATCTGTTGACCGAGTTAACTTCTCGGGTAGCTTCCACGGACACGACATTATTTGTGTGGTGTTCACATTTGGTTTCTTAACCTACAGGTGTTTCCCCTGGAGAACCCGAGGAAGACAACACGAAAAGATTCCTGACAACCTTTTGTCATGGCATAGAGGAGCGTCAACACACGAACTGACACGCGCTGTTGAGGGTTGCAGATTTGGAAGAGGCGTAGTAGCCCACGTCAGTCGAGAAAGCACTTAATAATGATGATGAGGAGGATATTAATAAACACGGCCGACTCTTTTTATATACAGAAGGGCGTATTAATAAAGAACAATGATACAATGAATGTACGAAGTCACGAATTCTACCGGAAACGTACCTTTAATGTGTTATTTCCCTTGACGACCTTAACGGAGCCCGAAAGAGAAAGTGAGGAAATCATGCAACGTGTGTCTCCAGTTTGTATTCTTGTGTGACTCATTGTGAAGTTTTTATTTTGGGGGGATTTCGGTATGTAATGGTTACGTTTGTCTACTGAAAACGATATTATTGTTTGTTTTGCGTTTACCGACAATAATAAACTCAGCGGAAAGTCCTGGTTTTGTTTTTTGCTGTCACAGCAGCTGCAACTGTTGTTCGTCGTTCGTTCATATTGAATTCATTTCTGTGGGATTCTTTGGTGGCTTTGTTTTAATTCTAGGACCCAAGTTTTGCGTGTAGTGTTCTGTGTGTCGCCAGTCATAGCGTAATCTTGGCTGACAGCGTAGCAACAGTTAAAACAAGAAAGTACATGACCAACAAGCTGCTTAGCAGAAAGGCAGATGGTGGTTGATGTACTTCACCCTGGCAGGGCCACTCTGAAACTCTCCCTAAGACAGAAATCGGGGAAAAGCTCGCCAAGTTCAATCAAGTTGTACAAAGTAACCGCTGATGTTGTCTTTTGCTTTGGGTTGAGGACAAATCTTGGAGGTGGTAAACTACTGGATTTGCATTGATTTATGGCACCTTGGACAAGGCCAAGAAATTTGAGCCTAAATACAGACTGGCCAGACATGGATTGAATTGCTAGAAAATAAGAAATCAAGAGAACAGGCAGAAAGCATATGAAGGAAAGAAAGAACAGGCAAAAGAAAGTTAGAGGAACCGCCAAGACCAAAGTCAGTTCTGGCAAGGAGAAGAAGTAATCAGCAGTTGCATCAAGCTATGGTGTATCATTTTTGAGAAATAAACTCCGTAATCAATTATTATCTGCCCCCCCCCCCCCCAAAAAAAATCCTGTTTATTTATGCAGACTGTTGGTTCCTTGGCTCTATGGCAGATGCATTCTGACTTAGAAGGAAACCATATAAACACAAATTAGGTCTTGGTAAAACTATATTAGAAGCACTCAAACTCACTATTATTATTATTAAATATTATTTTGGTTTTTTAGTCATTTCAGTGGAAACTTAATCATTGTGAGTATCTCACTGCATTGTCATGATTGTCACTGTCATGATTGTGCATTGTACTATGTCACTGCGAGTGAGTGTAACTTAACTCACTGCAGTGTACTGTACTGTCTCTTAAAGACAGTGGCATCTGTGCAGAAAGTCATGAGCTTCTCAGCACCCTTATTTATAATTTTCTAGTGTGCATGCCTTGTTTAAGTGTACAATCATAATTACTATGTACTGGATACCTAAACGCATATACTTAGACAGATTTATATACATTATTATACATATGGGAGTGTTTTTGCCACTTTAACCATAACCTTCCTTCCTCATCTCCCCCCCCCCCCCCCCCCCCCTGTTTTACAATCAAAGCCTTTGAATGCAAAGAATTACAACCAAACAGTTCATCCTGCTTTGTTTTAATACACGTCTGTGTCTTCATTCCTCAGTTTCTCCATAGCTTGTTGTAGTTACCTTCACATTGATCAGCACAATGAGCAAAGCTTTGCAAGATCCTGACATCCAGTACTTCGTGAACCGAGAGACACAGAAACAGCGATTCCAAGGAGTAGTCCACGAGATAACTGCCCGATGTTGGGACACGTGTGTGGGTAACCCAGGAAACAAGCTGGATTCTAAAACTGAAGGCTGCATCCGCAATTGTGTCGACAGATTTTTGGACACATCTAACTTTGTTGTGAACCGCCTGGAGTCGACTCCAGTTTCCTCTGCTGCAGCACCTCCTAAAAAGTCAGGATTCTTGTTTAACTGAAACTGCTTGAAAAATCCGGCTAAAACAAGAGATGCTAACATAATATGCAACCTCTATAGATAGAGTGCATCTTTAAACCAAGGGCAGGTGTTTTTTTGGTTTAATTGGTTACATAGAAAAGTTTGACTTGAAAAATATTCGTGTTATCTGATTTACTTGACTTCTATGACAGTATTTCACTGTAGCCCAGGAGTAAAGCAGTGATCTGAACAGTTTGGCAGTAGTGTGAACAGTTTGTCTTTAGGGATACAGGTAGTGATATTTTGTACATTACATATCTCCCGGAGAACATTACTGAGTTGCGACTTATTCCTGCTGACTTGTTACGGACACTCAGATTTCACATAACACATTATTTGTTATCTGGCAACAAACATCAAGCGTGGAATATTTGTTTGAACTGCTAGGGATATGTCGAGTCTGTCCACGTTTTCTTCCAAGCCAAATGCAAAGCCTCCTCAGAAGGGAAGCTTTCCCCTGGACCATGACGGGGAGTGTCGGGACTTTATGGTCAGATATATGAGGTGTCTGATGGTGAATAAGAAAGACACGACCCAGTGCCGCCAAGAGTCCAAGGACTACCTCAGCTGCAGGATGGAGAGAAACTTGATGTCCCGTGAAGACTGGAAGAAACTTGGTTTTCATGATGAAGGGGGGCAAACGTCAGAAGAAGCATAATGGGTTTCCATTTACAAAAGAGCACTTTTAAGAAATTTCATGGGTATTGGTTGCTCTTTTTTGGTTTAAAATTTGATTTGTGTGTTTTAGGTGAAGTTTTGTTGACGTATAATTGCTGTTTGTGGGACACATGTCTTGATGTATGGTTTGGATGGAGTTTTGTCACTGTATGACTGATGTTTGTTACACATCTACAGGTATGGTGTGTGATTCGGGTGACATTTTGTTTTTTATTTGATATTTGTCTGACATGTCTGCAGGTATGGCTTGTGATCCAGTTGTTTTGTTAATGATTATTTCTGTCACATGTCTGGACCTATGGCTTGTGACTCAGAATTTGGTTTTCATCGTTGACACATGTCCGGGGTTGCTCTTGTGATATGGAAGCGGAATATTTGTCATGAGAGATTGATGTTCCATGCCTGAAACTGGTGTGATATTTGTCACTGCTAGATTAACGTGACATGCCTGAATATGTGTGTTGTTTGTCATTAGAAGTTGGATTTGACATGCCAGAATGTGTGATATTTGTTACGGGTAGTTGGACGTGACATGCCAGAATGAATGGTACTGAGATATGGTATTTGTCACGGGTAGTTAGACGTGACATGCCAGAATGTATGGTGCTGATGTGTGATGTTTGTCACTGGTAAATGGATGTAACATGCCTGAATGTATGATATTTGTCACTTAAAGTTGGACGTGACATGCCTGAATGTATGTTACTAAACTACTACTTTCAGAGCTGCCAAATGTTCAACCCTTGGAGGAAGCAAATATGCCTTAGAGTCGCTCACTAAATATAAGGGGTAAAATCATGCATAACATGTTGATTGAAATGAGTGAGTAATACCCAAACATGCATAGTGCGTTGTTCAGAACAGAAAGAGTTGATTGTTGTTTGTGTGTCATGGTGGTATAGATTCAATATTTCATATTTTTTTGTTTGTTTGAGGAAGTGTTTTTGCTGTGTATGAAATCAGTTTTGCAGTGAATAACAGCTCCAGAGGTACTCCACATGCATTTGGGTCGTTCCAGGCTGCTCACTTCTGTCCAAGGGGGCTAGGCACCTTCTGCTCCACTGGCCTGGAGTGGTACATGCTCTGGTGCCTTATTGTTTTCAACCCCGCTGGATCATTTCTGCCTGGCATTTTTGCTTTAAAGGCAGGATGTAGCCATTCCAGCGCCCCCCCCCCCCCCCCCCCCATTTGTTTGATTTGACTGAACTTTTTCTTTTGCCTTTACCTCTCTCTCCTCTTCTGTGTTTGCACTTAAAAGGGCGGTAGGCATATTATGTTGTTTTTTGCAATTTAACAGTGTCTTTTGTCAAATCCCTAATTAGTTACTTTTTACAATATGCTCTTTACAGTGACATTTGGTTTGTTACCCCCCCCCCCCCCCCCCAATGGGGCTCAGAACCCATACCGGGCCTGTCTCAGTGAAGCGTAGACTCTCAGTCATTCCAGGCTAAGAGCCTTGTATAGAGTTGTTCTTGATAGTTGCAGCTAAATTCTTTCTTTGTGATGAAATAGTCTTTTGTGGCCCCTTAGTGACCTCGTTAACGGATGAGGTCTTTGAAATAGTTGTTATTGTGCATTTTAAAAACAAATAAGGGTTTGTTGAAGAACTCGTGCTGAGTGAAATTTCTCGGATAGCGTTGAGATCAGTTGGATTATGTTTTTTTTTTTAATATGTCATTTGAAAGATCTAATGCATGCCCTTAAACTTGTGAATATTTCAATATTAAATGTTGATTATTGATTTGTTATTCGCATTATCGTTTGCACTGTTTTTGTTTATGTTAATGTTTGTATGCTTTTTATTTTCTTAGTCTAGATAGGGCTATTCAACTAAGTTTGATTAGGAGCCAATATTTCGAAAATAGGAATTGTTAGAGGCTTGAGACCCAATGTAGAAAGATCAAGCCTGGAATATAGAAGGCTTATAGCATTGAAAATAACATGAGATGACACCCCTAGAACATAGGACAGCTTGTGGGAAATCTCATGCCTGATAAGATGGGATGATTTTCGGCATATGTACCACCTGGTCTAGTATATAGGCCTGTGGTGTAGCATGTTTCTTTTCTTATTTTAGTCCATGCCCTGTGACATATGTAGTCATATTCATCCACAGCCTTCTGTCTCTTTCAATCAGTTGCAGGATTAACACACCTAGGGTAACCATGAGGTTATACTGAGGATCCCTAACGATTATGAACTAACCTGAAATCCAGACCAGGCAAGAATTTGTGACCTTAAAGGTTCCTAAGCTATTTATTTCTACAGTGTCTCATAAGTTTCCATATACAAGAAAAAAATTAAGAATTGTTTATAAAAACTTTTTTTTTTTTTAAATCAACATGCCATTTTTTTTTACAAAACAAAAACATTTTTATGTGGCTGAAGAACACGTACAAGCACAGCAGGGGTTATGCTTATAATGGCATTGGTGATACGTATTTATTTGTCCATTGTGTGGAAACTTATGTAAAACCCTGTATGTGTGCTATGCTGATGAATCATGACCTGGTTACAGGTACCTCTCCATACAGTGGAAGTTCTAGTCTTGCACACCTTTCTCTGTCTTCTGGACTTGGAGAAAGGGAAAGGAGAACTTTTGAATGTCTTAGGTAGGCCTTACTTTAACTCTTTATTGTCTAAGAAGTTTGTTACTTTTGACCACATGATGAGGCAACAGCGCCAGATTATATGTGGACTATGTGGCAGAGACTGTCACTTCCGCATTGGACTTTGCAGTCAAAGCAGACGACATTCCAAAAACGGCCCAACTCCTTGGTCCACATGGACTGATGGTTGCCTACTAGTCTCCAGATATCCTCGTGTTGTTCACCTCTTCCTTTTCCATCTGCCGTCCGTCAGCTAGATCCTCTGGTCACTCCATGTCTCTACACTCCCTCCACACTGTGATGATCTATTTGTGCCTCCACACTGTGATGATCTATTTGTGCCTCCACACTGTGATGATCTATTTGTGCCTCCACACTGTGATGATCTATTTGTGCCTCCACACTGTGATGATCTATTTGTGCCTCCACACTATGATGATCTGTTTGTGCCTCCACACCCACACTGTGATGATCTATTTGTGCCTCCACACTGTGATGATCTATTTGTACCTCCACACTGTGATGATCTATTTGTGCCTCCACACTATGATGATCTATTTGTACCTCCACACTATGATGATCTATTTGTGCCTCCACACTATGATGATCTATTTGTACCTCCACACTATGATGATCTATTTGTGCCTCCACACTATGATGATCTGTTTGTGCCTCCACACCCACACTGTGATGATCTATTTGTGCCTCCACACTGTGATGATCTGTTTGTACCTCCACACTGTGATGATCTATTTGTGCCTCCACACTATGATGATCTGTTTGTACCTCCACACTGTGATGATCTATTTGTGCCTCCACACTATGATGATCTGTTTGTGCCTCCACACCCACACTCTGATGATCTATTTGTGCCTCCACACTGTGATGATCTATTTGTACCTCCACACTGTGATGATCTATTTGTGCCTCCACACTATGATGATCTGTTTGTACCTCCACACTATGATGATCTATTTGTGCCTCCACACTATGATGATCTGTTTGTGCCTCCACACCCACACTGTGATGATCTATTTGTGCCTCCACACTGTGATGATCTATTTGTACCTCCACACTGTGATGATCTATTTGTGCCTCCACACTATGATGATCTGTTTGTACCTCCACACTGTGATGATCTATTTGTGCCTCCACACTATGATGATCTGTTTGTGCCTCCACACCCACACTGTGATGATCTATTTGTGCCTCCACACTGTGATGATCTGTTTGTACCTCCACACTGTGATGATCTATTTGTGCCTCCACACTATGATGATCTGTTTGTGCCTTCACACCCACACTGTGATGATCTATTTGTGCCTCCACACTGTGATGATCTATTTGTGCCTCCACACTATGATGATCTGTTTGTGCCTCCACACCCACACTGTGATGATCTATTTGTACCTCCACACTGTGATGATCTATTTGTGCCTCCACACTATGATGATCTGTTTGTACCTCCACACTATGATGATCTATTTGTGCCTCCACGCTATGATGATCTGTTTGTGCCTCCACACCCACACTGTGATGATCTATTTGTGCCTCCACACTGTGATGATCTATTTGTACCTCCACACTGTGATGATCTATTTGTGCCTCCACACTATGATGATCTGTTTGTACCTCCACACTGTGATGATCTATTTGTGCCTCCACACTATGATGATCTGTTTGTGCCTCCACACCCACACTGTGATGATCTATTTGTGCCTCCACACTGTGATGATCTGTTTGTACCTCCACACTGTGATGATCTATTTGTGCCTCCACACTATGATGATCTGTTTGTGCCTCCACACCCACACTGTGATGATCTATTTGTGCCTCCACACTGTGATGATCTATTTGTGCCTCCACACTATGATGATCTGTTTGTGCCTCCACACCCACACTGTGATGATCTATTTGTGCCTCCACACTGTGATGATCTATTTGTACCTCCACACTGTGATGATCTATTTGTACCTCCACACTGTGATGATCTATTTGTGCCTCCACACTGTGATGATCTATTTGTACCTCCACACTGTGATGATCTATTTGTGCCTCCACACTGTGATGATCTGGTTGTACCTCCACAATGTGCACTTGCTTCAAAGGATGCTTGACCACAGCTCGCTTGTGTTGCATCAAGTCACTACTTAATGGTGCAGTACCTGCCAGTCTGTCTGCCTAATTGTTCCCCAACAAATCTGCATGCCATAGAGAAAATATCTGAAGGATTCTAACTAGGGGGGAGCTCTGGATTTTATGCAAGTTCCAGGACTTGAGTTTTGCAGGCACATCCATTTTACAGATTGCAGACTGTTGGTTCCTCACTTCTTAAGCAGATGCAACCCCAACTTCAAAGGAAATGCTGATTCTGTATATAATGACCAGGCCCCTGGTTGGCAGCCTGTTTCTAGGACGACTGCTGAAAGCTGGAGATAGGTTTTGATTAGTATGCCACCTGGTCCTGGTGGACCAACACATGTGTTTCCGCACCTCTGCATTCCAGTTATGAAGCTTCTTCTTTCGTCCGCTTGAAATAAATCATCTATATCTGCAATGTTGTCTCCAGTATGAACTTCACTGACTTTCAGAATTCACTCAGCGACCCGTAAAGTTTGACTTGCACCGATGTTTCTATTTGGCCAAAAGTTTTTGCCTTGATATGTTGTATTTGGGACAGTCTTGGAGGATGTGATCTGTTGTCTCAGGTGCCAGTGTGCACATGGCTGATTCTTGTTCTTCTTCACTTCCTCTTTGACCGCTGTGGGTGTCGAGGGAGATATAAGGTTCTGTTTCTAGCTCTTCTGGCTGCCTCGACCATAGGCACATCGTGCTGTTGTAGAGTTTCTCTGATGTTATCCTTCCATCTTGTTCTTGGTCTACCCCGTGCTCTACATCGTCCTTTTCTTTCCATGTATGCTTTGTATGGTATGGTGTCACAAGGCATTCTCTCTAAGTGGGCAAACCATTTCACTTGCTGTCTTTGTATGTCATCCAGAATTGGTTCTGTGCCGACTTGTTCTCTTATGATTATGGCTGATTCGCTGATTTTAAATTTTGTGTACATGTTACGAAGCTGAGATTAAACAAACAAACATCACAACTTGGAGGGCTGAATATCAATAGAATAAATCAATTTTACAAATCATCAGGCACTGTTTTATTTACAGCTTCAAAATTGATACTGCAGGAAATAGACAACTTTTTACTATATGACAATGAACTCCCCTAAATAAGCAAATATTATTAACGAATGATCCCGGTTTACAATGGGTTCCTGGACTCCATTTTGGAACAAGAGAACAGACTCACTGCTCCCCAAACAAGCATGTCCTAGGAGGCAACTCATTAGAAATGTTTCCTTCAAAGTCAAGGTGTATCTACAATTTCACAAATCATCACTGTTTCTTCTTCTTTCGTTCACCTGAAATAAGTTGTCTCTATCAGCAGTTTTGTCTATCATATAAATTTCACTGTCGTCGTTAGTTCATTCAGTGGTCTGTAGAGGTTAAGTTCCACTGTTGTTCTTTCTGGCCAAAAGGTTTGCCTTAATGTGTCAAATGTGGTTTAGTCCTAGAGTACAGGCTCGGCTGTTTGGGGCACCTTTCCGCGGGTTGACATGCCCATCTTGAATTTTGGATTTAGACATATTTCCATGGCGTGTGTGCCAGAGTTTTATTGACAGCTTCAAAGCCGGTACTTCAGGCAATAGCATACCATTTACTATACGACACTGAAGTGAGAAAATATTAACATCTGATTTGAAAATAAAATAAAATACTAACTCTTCCTTCTTCTTAAAGTCCATGCCGTGTGGCAGTGGTAGTCATGTCTAACCACAACCTTCTATCTCGTGTATTTTTAATCAACTCTGACACCGATGATCCTCCATGCCATGTTGTCTAACTGTCCAGCATCTCTTCTCCCGGTCTCCCTCTGCCTCTCCTCCCCTCCAACTTTCCTACTTTCACGATGCATGCACTCCAGCGTTCTCCTTCTCATCACATGGCCAAAGAATGTAGATTATCTCCTTCTGATGTGGGCAATCAGTTCCCTTCTTCTGATGTGGACAATCAGTTCCCTTCTTCTGATGTGGACAATCAGTTCCCTTCTTCTGATGTGGGCAATCAGTTCCCTTCTTCTGATGTGGGCAATCAGTTCCCTTCTTCTGATGTAGGCAATCAGTTCCCTTCTTCTGATGTAGGCAATCAGTTCCCTTCTTCTCATGTGGACAATCAGTTCCCTTCTTCTCATGTGGACAATCAGTTCCCTTCTTCTGATGTGGACAATCTGTTCCATTCTTCTGATGTGGACAATCAGTTCCTTTCTTCTGATGTGGACAATCAGTTCCCTACTTCTGATGTGGGCAATCAGTTCCCTTCTTCTGATGTGGACAATCTGTTCCATTCTTCTGATGTGGACAATCAGTTCCTTTCTTCTGATGTGGACAATCAGTTCCCTACTTCTGATGTGGGCAATCAGTTCCCTTCTTCTGATGTGGACAATCAGTTCCATTCTTCTGATGTGGACAATCAGTTCCTTTCTTCTGATGTGGACAATCAGTTCACTTCTTCTGATGTGGACAATCAGTTCCCTACTTCTGATGTGGGCAATCAGTTCCCTTCTTCTGATGTGGACAATCAGTTCCCTTCTTCTGATGTGGGCAATCAGTTCCCTTCTTCTGATGTGGACAATCAGTTCTCTTCATGAGTTAGTTTCTTTCAAGACATCTTCACTACTCTTTTTAAATGTCCTTGGTATTCTCATAATTAGTCTATAAAATCACATCGTAGCTTCCAGATTATTTTACTAATTCTTCCACATTTACAAACTCTCTCAATGTGATCAAATCTCCCACAATTATCATATTTTCTATATTTGCAAAAGTGAAGGACCTTTTTACAACTTTTGGCCCATCTGGAATATAGTGCCAGACCTGTATTTTTACTGACCAAATGGCAATTGATGGGTCATATGGTCAAAATCATGCTTGCCACCTTTACCTACTTACTTAGTCGCTCCTCTTCTACCTTGGGGTGTAGAGGTTTGCCAGAGAGATTGCCAGATGCCTCTATCAACAGTTTTCTTTTCGGCTTTGTTCCATTCCACTCCTCTGTCAGTTAACTCTTTGAGTCCCAAGGAACGCATCATACGTTCATAGGTTCCTACCTTGAAGCCCAATCAACGCATGATGCGCCGATTTTTTAATTCTCTTTACTACTACCTGGGCCTGTGATGCTGAACCCCCTGGGACTCAAAGAGTTAAGGACCACCCTGGAGGTCTGGTTCTTAGCCTCCCATGTCTGCTATGGTGGCTGATTTCCTCCTCCTCCTCCTCCCATTCTGCATACATGTCCAAACCTTGTAACTGTGACTGACCCACTCGAGTTTGTAAAGACTGGATATCAAGATCTTGAAGTATTGTCTGATTGCGGACTTTGTCCCCTCTTGTCACTTGGACCACCTTCCTCAGATATCTCATTTCTGAGGCATGAAGCTGGCTTCTGTGAGCTGTTGTCATTGCCCATAACTCACACCCATAGGTCAGGACTGGTACAGAGGTAGCCACCTTTAGTTCCCATGATATTTTTCTTGTGATCGCTTCCTGATTTACATCGGCACATGTGTTTTTGTGATAAATTAACTGTTTTTTGAGTCGCCTTTCAGTTCCATACAGCTCTTGAGTGTGGTGTTCTCACTCCACAAGTATTCCCTTAATCGGCTGACAAGGGACAGATTTGCAGGACATGTTGCAGTTATCACAAACAGCCCACCTGGGCACAGCGGTGAACTGCTTAAGACAAAGCCTGTGCTTGCTGAGTTTGTTCTGTCCTGAGACGTAGATAATGACCTGTCCATGCCGGTCGAGTAGGTGGCGGGCATCTCTAGCCAGATTCTGTTCACTTCGGACAGACACTTCACAGGATATTTACCTAGCAATCATGGTAGGTTGGGTTAACCTGGTAGCCAATGTTGATGTTGAAAAATCCACCTTACAGACTTGAACCCGAGACCTTTAGTTTCTATATTTAAGCCACATCTTTATTATTTACTAATATCCTATTGATAACAGCCACATGGCCTAATTTAGAACCAGACTATTAAATTACAAAAAATAATTTTAATTTAAACAATAATATATATATATATATATATCCTCGTGTAGGTTCAGAAGCCCTCTTTTGGAAAATAGAACTACTGCCCTTCTAACAAGCACGTTGTGAAATGCGACTAGTTCTTCAAAGTCAAAGTGTATCTGCCTGAGGGATGAGCAACCAACAATGTACATACAAATAAGCCAGATCTGTAAAACAGGTGCGTGGGCAAAACTCAAGTTCAGAAGTGGACAAACAACCTGAACTTTCCACCAGTTCACAGCAAGGAGTAAATGCTCAGAAACAGAAGAACAGACATAGAATTATAAAAGTAATAATAACAATTATGACAAAGAAAGGTTTTGCCAGATGCATATTTCAAGGGATACCAACACACTGCACAAGGCAATGAAAACAGCAGATTCACTTGCAAAGCTGGATGCAGCACTGCAATACAATGATCTTTCATTACTTCGAAAAGACACCTGGACTCAAGAGCAAAGTGTGCAGAGCAAGCTATGGGGAACCATGAAGGACCTGCTACTGACATGCAAGTTCACAGAGGCAATTCACCTGCTGGTTTGATCTAAGCATACGAAACCGAACGCAAAGAAGATAAGATACTCTTCATTGTGATATTCCACATGTACAGAAAAAATTTATGAAAAGTTCATTGTTAAGCATCAGCAAGGAAATCAATGTCCCAATTCTGATAGCATACATTTTCCCTCTAGCAACATATGGATGGGAGTCATGGACTATCTTGCAGTCTTTAAGGAAGAAAATAGGGGCTTTTGAGATGAAACTATAGAATAATTCTTAGAATACCATGGACAAAGAAGAGGAGAAATGGTGACATCCTAAAAGATCTCAACATCAAGGAAGATTGGCTGGTAAAAAGTGTCTTGTCTTGGAAATTTAAATATCCGGGCCACATCAAGCTCCCGGGCAGTTTGGAAAAATAACAGCAGCCCAGGCATGGCTACCAGGAAGGAGGAGCAGGGGCTGACCGGCACGTAAATGGGCACAGGAAATAAGTGACCTCTTGGGCAAGGGGAGAGCTGGTGAGAGACTGAGTTTCTTTGAGGCAGCCTGTGATGAGAACGATGTTGTAGATGCTACAAGATGCAACATCTCCTTGAGAAAATGCCTTTCTTTGAATAATACTTTATCAAATCTTCAGTGTCCTGCATCACCTGTCCCATCAAGCATTACATAGTCTATTTTTTCAACAACTCGTTTACAGCCTGTAGTAGAGAACAGTTGCTCTGTTGGGGGGTCAAATGTCAACTCTTTGAGGATTTTATCCACCACTTCACTTGGAATGTCTCCACCACTGGAATAATATTTTCTGGAGATGAGATAATCTACGATACATTTCCGAACGTGTGTCTTCTCTAGGGGCAGAAACGGGATGTAGGCGGTTATCAGCTGGCTACTGATCAACTGACTGTGCCAAAGACCATCTGGTGGAAAAACAGCAAACGAATTAAACGTTTTCTTTATTCCAAATCCACAGTGACATGGTAGTTAATCTTCTTCGTTAGCATTTACAATTTTAAGAGTGCCTGTCACATTTTATTGTTTACAATTAGGCTGCTATATTTCCCCTTTTTTTACCCTTAATCAGTCATCTTTTATACTGTTACAACTGTCTGTTTTACCACTTGGTAGGACTGTGTAGACAGGGCGGCCTTGAGCCTGAAGATTCAGGGCTGCCTGGCTAGTGCTGTCGCCACGGACTGTGCAGGTTAAGATGTTTATTTTTTCCCCCGACAGAAAAACTCCCATCACCTTAGCTGGGGTTGAACTTGGGTCTCCCGCATGAGAGCTCAATGTTATAACCGCTTGGCCAGCCGCTCCTCAATCACTTTTTATGGCATGGCTAAAATGGGTACTAGGAAATATAACAACTACTGGTGTAATACTGACCACACACTCCAGACAGGGTCAACTGCTCTATACAAATATGGACTAGCATTATATACCCAGTTTTCCTCAATGTATGGAAAGGGCCATAATTTTTTTTATATATAGGAAGTTTTCTCGTAATTATTTACCATCCAGGCCAAGTATAAATACTATATTGTATATAAATAGTGCTTCCCTGTGTGGGTTCTGGGGCCCCAATGCGGGCAAAACAAGAATAGACCCATTGCCTTTCCAAGAAGCATGTCGTAAGAGTCACCCTAAGAAGCATGTCGTAAGAGTCACCCCAAGAAGCATGTCGTAAGAGTCACCCCAAGAAGCATGTCGTAAGAGTCACCCCAAGAAGCATGTCGTAAGAGTCACCCTAAGAAGCATGTCGTAAGAGTCACCCCAAGAAGCATGTCGTAAGAGTCACCCCAAGAAGCATGTCGTAAGAGTCACCCCAAGAAGCATGTCGTAAGAGTCACCCCAAGAAGCATGTCGTAAGAGTCACCCTAAGAAGCATGTCGTAAGAGTCACCCCAAGAAGCATGTCGTAAGAGTCACCCTAAGAAGCATGTCGTAAGAGTCACCCTAAGAAGCATGTCGTAAGAGTCACCCCAAGAAGCATGTCGTAAGAGTCACCCCAAGAAGCATGACGTAAGGGTCACCCCAAGAAGCATGTCGTAAGAGTCACCCCAAGAAGCATGTCGTAAGAGTCACCCCAAGAAGCATGTCGTAAGGGTCACCCCAAGAAGCATGTCGTAAGAGTCACCCCAAGAAGCATGTCGTAAGAGTCACCCCAAGAAGCATATCGTAAGAGTCACCCTAAGAAGCATGTCGTAAGAGTCACCCCAAGAAGCATGTCGTAAGAGTCACCCCAAGAAGCAGGTCGTAAGAGTCACCCCAAGAAGCATGTCGTAAGAGTCACCCCAAGAAGCATGTCGTAAGAGTCACCCCAAGAAGCATGTCGTAAGAGTCACCCCAAGAAGCATGTCGTAAGAGTCACCCCAAGAAGCATGTCGTAAGAGTCACCCCAAGAAGCATATCGTAAGAGTCACCCCAAGAAGCATATCATAAGAGTCACCCTAAGAAGCATGTCGTAAGAGTCACCCTAAGAAGCATGTCGTAAGAGTCACCCCAAGAAGCATGTCGTAAGAGTCACCCCAAGAAGCATGTCGTAAGGGTCACCCCAAGAAGCATGTCGTAAGAGTCACCCCAAGAAGCATGTCGTAAGAGTCACCCCAAGAAGCATGTCGTAAGAGTCACCCCAAGAAGCATGTCGTAAGAGTCACCCCAAGAAGCATGTCGTAAGAGTCACCCCAAGAAGCATGTCGTAAGAGTCACCCCAAGAAGCATGTCGTAAGAGTCACCCCAAGAAGCATATCGTAAGAGTCACCCCAAGAAGCATGTCGTAAGAGCTGACTAACTGGGGGCTTCCTTTGAAGTCAGAGTGCAGGTCTTTCCACCGGAGTTTATAGCCATTGAACGCAAACAACAACAACATAAACTGTGCTGTGTCAACAAAAAAGCTAGCTGCAGTGTACCACTGCTATCTTTGAAAATATTACGCGGTGAGGCCCTCAATCTCTTCCAAATTGCAACTCTCATACTACTGTCCACAAGCCACGAAAACTATTTTTTTTAAACAGTCTTCCGTGGGAAATGAACCCTTGTAGTTGAGGATCATGGAATTGTTAACTACATTCGCTAAACTTTACAAATACTACATTAGACAAACACTATAAATTTGTGTCCACTATAATTATTTCAAATCTAAATACTACACTGGACACACTGTATAAGTTTACTTCTACTATAAATACTATAACTGTTAATACTATAACTATGAACACTTTAAACACTATAACTATTAATACTATAACAATTATTACTATAACTATGAACACTATAACAATTATTACTATAACGATGAACACTAAACACTATAGCTATTAATACTATAACTATAAACATTATAACTATTAATACTATAACGATGAACACTATAACTATTAATACTATAACGATGAACATTATAACTATAAACACTATAACTATAAACACTAACTATGAACACTTTAACTATAAACACTATAACTATAAACACTTTTAACTATAAACACTAACTATGAACACTTTAACTATAAACACTATAACTATAAACACTATAACTATAAACACTAACTATGAACACTTTAACTATAAACACTATAACTATAAACACTTTAACTATAAACACTATAACTATAAACACTATAACTATAAACACTTTAACTATAAACACTATAACTATAAACACTAACTATGAACACTTTAACTATAAACACTATAACTATAAACACTTTTAACTATAAACACTAACTATGAACACTTTAACTATAAACACTATAACTATAAACACTTTTAACTATAAACACTAACTATGAACACTTTAACTATGAACACTATAACTATAAACACTATAACTATAAACACTAACTATGAACACTTTAACTATAAACACTATAACTATAAACACTTTTAACTATAAACACTAACTATGAACACTTTAACTATAAACACTAACTATAAACACTATAACTATAAACACTATAACTATAAACACTATAACTATAAACACTTTAACTATAAACACTAACTATAAACACTATAACTATAAACACTTTAACTATAAACACTATAACTATAAACACTAACTATAAACACTATAACTATAAACACTATAACTATAAACACTTTTAACTATAAACACTAACTATAAACACTAACTATAAACACTAACTATGAACACTATAACTATAAACACTAACTATGAACACTTTAACTATAAACACTATAACTATAAACACTTTTAACTATAAACACTAACTATGAACACTTTAACTATAAACACTAACTATAAACACTATAACTATAAACACTAACTATAAACACTATAACTATAAACACTATAACTATAAACACTTTTAACTATAAACACTTTAACTATAAACACTATAACTATAAACACTAACTATAAACACTATAACTATAAACACTATAACTATAAACACTATAACTATAAACACTAACTATAAACACTATAACTATAAACACTATAACTATAAACACTATAACTATAAACACTATAACTATAAACACTTTAACTATAAACACTATAACTATAAACACTATAACTATAAACACTATAACTATAAACACTTTAACTATAAACACTATAACTATAAACACTAACTATAAACACTTTAACTATAAACACTATAACTATAATAGAGGACACTTACTGTGGTTATCAGCATTAATAGCAGACGACATCAGTATTTTCTCCACATCAGAGAGCTCCAAACTTTCTCTACTGACCCCTGACTGCCACCGCTCCAGTGCCAGTTTAGCAATATCATTGCCACCTGTATTACTGCAGACCATAACAGAGAAGGGATAAAAGCCATCAATAAATGCATGGGATAAAGCAGGACAACTGAAAAAAACAACGAACGCTTTCATTATCATCAACTAGACGGTCCTTTGCAGAAAAATCACTCTTGTTGGAAAGTCTCTCTTTCTCAAGCCAATTCTCCGGTCTTACGAGCTTTCATAGCCAACACATCTTCAATGTTTGTATCCATGTTTGTGAAGGTCTGTCTCATTTTCTGGAAACTACCCTCCTTCATCGTTCTCTCCAGACCTCATGATATTTCACATACCTCAGCTTTCACGACAGATGCTGTCTGTGAGGTAATCTCTCTGATGCTCAGATGATGTAGGATGTTTTTGTTCTTTTTTCGACTGCATTATCATACGTCAGTATTCCACTGTTGAGCATAGCCAGCCAGCCAGTCTATCCACCTGTTCACCTACTAACACACCGACAGTGCTCCTGACCCATGACCTCCGAAGGGTCTATTCTTTTTTTACCCCAAAAATCCCAGGATTGCAGATGGGGAAAATAAAAAGATCAAACTCAATGAACATCACTCACCTTAGAAACAGAAAGATGGCTCTACGGTAGACAACACCTCCTAACTGCTCATAGTAATCTATGTAAGGTTTCACAACATCTAAAAGGGTTGCCGGAAACTTGTCTACTTCATCAAAGATGAACATGGAGCGATCACAGATGGTTATATTTCCTTCAATCCATGATTTCAACTGATCCTGTAAGCAAAAGTGTTTCAGAACATGGTGAATTTAAAGGAAAGAATTTCTTTTCAATTCAAGACATTACCCGCATGTCTCATTGGGGGGGGGGGGGGGAAAGGGGGGGGGGGGAATGATGCGCTGCCCCCGAATAAACATATCATAAAAGGCAATGAATTAGGGTTGTTGTCTTCTAGGTCGGAGTGCATCTGCCTGAGAGGTAAGGAACCAACAATCTGTACACAAATAAGCCTGATCTGTAAAACAGATGTGCACACAAAACAAGTTCTGGAACAGGACCAAATTAAGATGAATGTAACAAGTCTCAATCAACAGATAAAATGACATTTTTGATTGTCACTTGTTTAATTTTTGTTATTTAGGTCTAGCTAGCTCTAAATACCTAAAGGCACGGAAAAGGGTCCTTACTTTGATGTAACTGTTTAATTTGAAGTTGACTCTCATTTAATTAGCCTGTTGATACAGACGAATCTCTTATTAAAACATCTGGTTGCATTTGTACATGTGTTTTCCTTTCTCTCCACTGAGCTTTCAATTTATAGTTTGTGTTGTGTTTATATACTACTTGGAACGCGACTGTTCAAATAAATGAGTCTTCAGGGCAAACATCCTTAGAAACATGCCTAGAAGAAGATCGGAGCATTTATGGGTATACTCAACGTGCAATGAAGATGACCGTGAAATGAACAAACAACGGACAATAAAAGTTCAAGTAAACTAGCTGAAAGGTCAATGTTATAGGTTGTTGCGTATCCTTTACAGGACGTTGCAGAACCAACCCTAACAGCCCCTGGCTGTTGTGTGGTTTCTCTAGGCAAGTTTACATCCAGTAGTTTGCCATTGCTTTCTGGACAGTCGGCTTTTTTGATACCACTGTCAAAACCAACACAAGGCGCGTGGCCCGCAGCTGGGATCGAACCTGGCATTACGAAGCGTTCGCATCGACTTAGCCACAGAGCCGACCAATGTTATAGGAAGAGGTAAATAGTCAAAATATAAAGGTCCACTTATCATTGGCCTTCTTGTTGTAAAGAAATATACTTCTCCCTCAGCGATCTAAGGTTATGAACTTACTCCAATATGGGCCATAAATTGGGGCAACAACTCAAGGTCTCTTTGTTTTCTCCAAAGCTCAGGTGTCAGGTCTACTGGGCGTGGTTTCACAGCTCCTCCAGGAGAGGAAAGGGGTCTCTGTGGTGAAGTGGTCAAATCAGTTTCCTAGCGCTCTGAAAGTCATGGGTTCATTTCACGGCTGCGTTGTTCGGTTCCTAGGTGCAAATATTATGGGGAATCCCGGGGGATCGTTGCCGCAGCTTCAGAGTTTGTGCTTTGCATGATGATCTTGGCAGGTGGCTAGTCATTCTACAGAGAGAAAGACCGTGCCATAAAGGATAAAAGCCAGTGTAATGAAGTTAACCCATTGACTTTTAACCTTAACCAGGAGAGGAAGTCTTGCAAGACATGCTGGAGTCTATTCAGTATGAAGATACTAGCAGAGAACTGTTTGGCTCATACTTAATTTACATGAGTGCTGAGTCTGCAAGTCCATAAAGAAGTACAATCATACCTTGTAAAACGGAAGTAATCCCTCGTGAGGAAATTCCTTAGTGGCTGAAATAAGATGAACGTAAGGACTGCGCAAGCCATCTTTGTAGAGGTTGTCAGCAATGATACTACTGACAAAGTTTTTGCCAACACCAGTAAGGCCGTGGAATGATAACACCAATGCCTTTGAAGGGTCTGATGACCGTAAATGACCCTTAATATGGCCAACCACAGTTCTCTGGACAAGATGCTGACCATGTAACTTTGATGTTAATGCAATCTCTAAACCTGCGGAGAAGAATTCACATTTTGGTGCTTTATTAATATCCTACCCCAGATGATGTCACAGGACAGTCCAATATTTTAGAGACTGGTAAGACTGGGTTTCCCGGCTTTCTGATGCTTTTAAAGACCCCAAAACATCTAGAACGGCCCTAAGCCCCAAACAACCTACATTCCATGAGAGAGTGCAGCCTAGGTCCCACGACTAAATGCAGCCTATCTACCACCCCCTGAAATATTAGACTGTCTCGTGGCCTGTGGATTTCCGCTGTTTGGGGTAGGATATTAATAGAGCACCCATGTTTTTATTATATAACAAGAAATTAAACTGTTTTAAAAAAATGCATGTTATCTGATGGCACATTTTTATTAGTTGACAGAAAAGCCTGTACACCTAAAAACTAGTAAAGATTTTAAATATCAAAATTGTGATAAAATTATGTTCCTTTCAGTAGCTATATGGTTTTGTTGTTGCTATATTTTTATTTTGTTTAATAGTATCAGCATGTTAAAAGAAATGAAGCCTTATTACAAACTTTTAAGAACTGAGTCTTAGTGAAAATCTTTGGATCCACTGAAATGCAAACAGCAGATAATGTACAGTAAGAAGCAACCACACTCATAACCTGTTTGAATCAGAAATAATTGCTGACGTCTTGAGAGCTAATAGATTGAAGTGGGGGGGGGGGGTGGGGGGGGGGGACAAATGTACGGCGTGAAGGATAACAGAGAGACAAAAACTGCATACACACAATTAAATGGGATAGATCATGAGGCAGACCAAGAAAACAGTAGATACATAATATACAAGCAGAACTACAAATACCTGGTATCACCAAATGGAAAGAGAAGGCCAATCGTAGAGATGAATGAAAGTGAGTGATATCTGCGGCAATGAACCTAACAGGCTTGGAAAGCTGAAGAAGAAGAAGGCGAAGGAAGAAGAAGTAGCTGGCGGATGAGAAGGAGGAAGAATGTGATCTCAAAAACTGGCTGTATAAAGTCAAAATGTTCAAAATTACTGCTATAACTTTTATCTCATATAGATTGACTTCTCTCAACAGAGCAGTAGTAGCCTAACGATGCTGCCTGGGCAAAATTTGAAGTTAAAAATCTACCGAAAGTATTTCAGGATTCTCGCTGGTGCTACAGAGCCTGTGCACTGTGCTGAGCTTCTTCGGACTCAGACTTGAGTTGGAAGAAGAACGGAGCACTTACGGGTTACACCCGTGTGCCGTGATGTTGATTTGGTGTTCAAAACCTCGAACCTCTCAATAGAGTAGCTGGTTGCCTGCACTATCCACACTGAAGTGTGTGTTTTTTTTCCCTTCAAATATACCTTAGCTCTGAGGTTGGCCCAGCTTTACAAGGGTACCAGATAAGGTCCTTGGAAGTCTATAAAAATACAAATCTGGCATCATTTGCCTGATTCTCTACTGGTGTGAAAAGAGTCTTTTCCTGCTGACAAAGTACCAAACATGCCTCAAAGTGTGTAAATGGAACCTTTATTTTTATTTTACTTGACATATAGCTAAGAGTCAAATGTCAAGCGGGCCGGCGGGCAAATTTTGTAACTTTTTGGAAATAAAGTTTGTTCATTCTTTTTCTTTCTCCAGCCTTTTCCTTTTTCTTCTCCTACCCCTTCTCCTCTGGTCTTGTTCTGTTTTTCGACGTCAGGTTTTGAAGAGACATCAGGTTCGAGGCTCGGTATGGGATATGTAGATGCTGGTATTTATGGCTTCGGATATTTCATCCATCCGTTGTTTACGTGCTTGACCTTAAGCTCAGTTTCTATTATGTATATGTGATAGGGCTCTCTGTGGTGCACTTTCTGGTGATAGTAACATACAGTTAACAATTTCATTGCCTAGCATTCATTAATTCAAAATACAGTCAACATCCCCGTGTGGGTTCTGGTGCCCCATTGTAGAGAAAACAACAATAGACCCACTGCCTGCCCAAAAGCATGTCGTAAGAGTTAACTAATTGGGAGCTTCCTTTGAAGTCAGAGAACATCTGCCTGAGAGTCAAGGAACCAACAGTCTGCATGCAAATATTCAGACCTGTGAAACGGATGTACACGCAACACTCAGTTTCTGGAACAGGACTAGAGTCCAGAAGTGGACAAACCACCAGAACCTTTCCGCTGGAGTCTACAGCCGGCAAACGCGAAGAAGAAGATGAAGAAGAAGTAAACAAATAAAGTTTTAACACAAACACTTATCTACCTGTAATGTTTTCTATAATCCACCTATTGTTACAGCAGGGAACAAATCGGCACCGCAATGCATCATAGCTGGTGTAAATGAGTGACCCCACAGCCGCAATAACTGCAGTGACTCCCGTGACTGGTTCAATACTAAGGCTGGGGCTAATACAAGACACAATGATAATGAGAACACTGGCCTGAATCCACATGTTACTTGCAATGCAGGCGGTGGTTTATCTCACTCAGTGCTCTTGAAAACTGACCATTACTACTGAACAGCTTTCAGTGTCCTAAATCTGAGGCAGGTGTATCTAGGTTTGAGGTACCAGGGATATGATGAAGTACACTTCATCTAATGGAGGGGAAAAGAAAACATATAAACAAAACAATAGTTATGTTAAATAAAAATTATTTCTGGAACAAGAATAAAGTCCAGAAGTGGATGATCAACCAGATCTTTGCGCCGGAGTTTGCAAACAGTGAACGATGAGAAGATGAATCCAATAAATAAGATTATTTAAAAGAGTAAAAGTGAAGGACCCTTTTCTACACCTTTTGGTGTATAGGGCTAGACCTATATTTTATAGATCAATCGGCACAAGATGGGTCATGTGGTCAGCATCACGCCTGCCACCTTTACTTCCCGGGACTGCACCCGGTACCCACTCAAAGCTGGGTCAACATGGGAGCCAAAGTCATTTTTGAAAAAAGTCAGGCTCTACCAGAGAGCGAACCCACGACCCTCCGATCCACGGTGAGTGTCTAGCAGCTCCGCCATGGTGACTTCTAATAAGATTATTTATTTAGGAATATCACAAAAAAGTGCATTACTACAACACAGTTTCTTACTATAACTAATTTAACTGCACTATCACACATAAATAAATATAATTTAAAAAAATATATATATATATAATTGTGGGGATGGAGAGTGCTAAGAAAGGACTTTCACTGAATATTAATAAAACAGAAGTAATAGTTATATCAAAGAAGAAGATAACTCCACATTGTGATATCTCAATTGAAGGAAAAATACTTAAACCAAGTCAATAAAATCAAATATCTGGGAACAATCATATCATCCAATAGAAAATGTGTGACAGAGATTACAAATAGAATAGGTCAAGTGAAAGCTGCACTTCAGAAAATAAAAAAAAATTTTATGCAATAAATAGCTCTCATTTAATGTCAGAAAGCGGGTGCTAAAATGTTACATAGAACCTGTTCTGCTGTATGGCAGCGAATCTTGAAATGTCAGTGAACAAATTATGAAGAATCTGGAAGCAATAGAGATGTGGTTTCTGAGACGAATGTTACGAATACCTTGGACGGCCAGAGTAACTAACAACTATTGTTTCACTGAAACTAATGAAAACAGATCTCTATATATATAACAATAAGAAAGAGACAAACACTGTTCTTTGGCCACTTGATGAGAAGAGAGACATTGGAGAACATCGTGACAACTGAAAAAAATCAGTGGAAAGAGAGATGATGCTGGATCGGCTGAAATGATGGCATGGAGGGATATCATCAAGAGAGCTATTCCAGTCAACCAGGGATCATGATCTGTGGAGACACATGAGCGCCTACACCAGCTGGCGGGGCACATGATGATGATGATGATCACCACAGATAGGAACTGCAACACAGCTGGATTTGACTAGTGATGACGCTTTGTGTTGAAGCATCACTAGCACCTCAACTGTATGTTGGCATGTATAAGTAATGTACACTTCTTCATGCCAGGGCAAACCAGGGATATGATGCTAAATAGTGGCATATTCTTTAGGTTAGCTAATATCATTTAAGTTGTTGCATTTCTTTGGTTTTAGTTATATTTGGTAGTTCTTTCAAATTTTATATATCGAGATTTCACTTTTGTCGGCTCTGTGGCTAAGTCATGCGAAAGCTTTGTAATGCCGGGATGCCGGGTTCAATCCCAGCTGTGGGCCATTGCCTTGCGTTGGTTTCGACAGTGGTATCAAGAAAGCTGACCGTCCAGAAAGCAATGGCAAACTACTGGACGTAACTTTGCCTAGAAAAACCACACAACAGCCAGGGGCTGTTGGGGTTGGTTCTGCAACGTCCTGTAAAAGGATCCGCAACTAACCCTAATTTTACTTTTAAACATAACAGCTGGAAAGAGATTCAAACACTGAATCCAACGTTAGCTCAGTGAAGCCTATAGGTCAATTATAAATTGAGATATAAGTATAATCACATTTTTACGATGGAAAACATCACCCTAAAAAACACTTTTTTTTACTCACTAAGTTTCAGTTCAGGAACGGCAGTGTGTCTCCAGTTTGAGTCCTGAGCTTGATCCGATGTGCCTATTTTTTCGCATTCTTTCTGTGCGTTATTCAACACCTTTTGACTTTATTTACAGAACCCCATCTTAAACAGTCTTTTTTCCCCTTCTTTTTGAAAATTGTCTGCCCCAGGTTACTTCATTCATCTCATCGAAGTACTGGGAGAAGAAGTGAAGGATCTAACCAAATATGTGGACTCTCCTCCGACCTTCGTCACCATATTATGGCAACCAAACAAATAGCCTAACAGTAGGATTTCAGTTGTGCGTAAAATGCGGACTTCCTCCGACGAACACATCCTGGCAAAACTAGGATTGCTGTCCGTTGACAATTTCGAGAAACGCAACAATACACACTATAATAGCAACATGGCAGGGAGACCAAGCACTCCAAAACAGTTTAGCGATAGTGTTTTTCTGATTAAACTCACCGCCAAGTGTATCCCTTGCTACGGGTGGGCTAAACAAGATGTCTGGAACTCATGAGCAGCAGCTACCGCATCTCCTGCAACTTCCTCCAATTTATTTGCTCGTGAATCCCAGCCATCTAGTTTAGCCCCTCATCCGCGCCGCGTGTAGCGGCGTGGGAAACACTGTCGGCAGTGCGGCATAGTTGCAGAAACAGGTCCTAATTAACTTAAGTTTAACATATCGATGAGACCCTGTTAGAGTATTTGTTTGCTCTCGATAATATTGGCCCGTTATTCGGAGGCAATCCTAGTTTTGTTGCAATTTCTTCCTCGGCAGGCACTTCGCATTTTACACACAACTGAGGCCCTGTTAGGGTATTTGTTTGGCCGCCATAATAAATATGGGGACGAAGAAGTTCGGAGGAGAGCCAAAATGTGTACTCAACACTGAACGAAGGTCTGAATTAATTGATGCCGTCATTCCATACAGTACTTATTCAAAATAAATATAATACCAAACTATGTTTATCTCAGAAAGTGAAATTAAAAGCTTTATGGTATGTTACTACCGTCTTACCGTCAAATGGCTCAGATACACATCATCCTTTCATCAGAAATGTTTTCTTCTCTAAACAACTGGGAGTCTGGAACTATCTCTGTCATTGAAGAGTCGATCGTCAGAATTATCCGCCCCTAGGCTTTCGCTTCTTTTTCTTCTTCAGCATAACTGGAACTCTGCGCTGGCTGCTGAAGATGAGGACGGGGCATGCATGGGAATGCCCCGAATGCTGTGATGTTAATTCTTGACTCGGATCAACTTCAGCATAATAAGCCTATGACAATGCCAATGTAAAACATGCTAGGAGGTGACAATTTTAGAGAGCTACAGGAAATGTTTAGCCACTATACTATACCAGAAAGATGAGGGTTAGCATACATCTTAAAGATCACTTTGAATATCCACAAAGATAAAATACACAATATCTTGTTTGGGATGTCCAATTTCAGCTCAAAGTATTAGTAGGATATACAGTTTTCAGCTCAAGATATTATTATGGTCACCTTACCTTTAACCAATCTGCCTAACTTCACCGTCTAGTTCCTAACTCTATGTTTTGTTTGTTCTGTTTTGTTCTTCTTCTTTGACCTGTTAACTCCACCTCAGAGACTTTCTACTTGTATTATTGGCATTTTTTTTTCATAGTGCATCTTGATAGAACGGCAGCGTCTGTTCTTTGCCTCTTGATTTATTGGAATTTGTTTAGTTCTGGAACCGCGTTCAGGCTTTACATATACGTAACAATCTCGATAACATAAATCCACTAGGGACTGAAAAATCACAAGTTCGTGTTAAAGAAATTCGTGCTCAGTGAGAATTTATAGATGTATTATGAATATTACACCCCTGCTACAACCGAAATGTTGTTCACATCGACAGAGTGTTCGTCATAAGATAGTTCTTGTTAACAATGTTTTGCTGTAGAAACAACTAGGATTGTGTTTGTTACTATGGAAACTCAAACAACTGGAATTGTGACTATCAGTTTTTTTTCTTCTCCTCCTACCACCAAATGACTTTCAGGTGTGTTGTGAGCGACGTTCTGTCAAGGACAGCATGATTGATCGAATCTGTAGATATCTTCATTTCCAGCTGCACTGTGATGTGACCAAAAAATCTAACAGTTTTAATACGTTTAAACTATTTCTCTACTAGGTACTGAAATATTTATAAAAAAAAATAACGGTCCGATAGTTGAGATATTTGTTAATCAAGTAATTATGATTGAAGTTTGTTATCTTGTAATTTACCAAGTGTACTTCAGGATGGAATATTGGACGGGAAATAAGTCGGTGAAGATCTATTTCTTTTTTTTTTTTTTTTTTTTTTTTTTTTGCAAATCATAAGTTTGAATGGGTAATTGACGATTATGTTTGGTTGATTAGAATCAACGCCCCTGTGTTTGGGCAGCACAGGCGCACTGCCACAAAGAAAACGTTGGGGTGGGGCTCCTCAACTCCCTAATAATTGTTTGGGGGGGGGGGGCATGGTAAAAAAAAAAGGTGGGGGATTTAAGGGGTTGAATGAGCAATTGAAATGTATGCCAAATTAATTGAAAGAAAATTAAGACCATTAGTAGATGAACAACTTTAAGAAGTCCAGATGGGTTTTAGACGTAACAGGTAACAGAAGCTGCGCAGCTGCAGTATCTACATAAAGACAGTTGACAGAAAGAGCAACAGAGTATGATAAGACATGCAAAGTCGCATTTATAGACCAGGAAAAGGCATTTGACAGAGTGGATAGGAATATGTTGTGGAATTGCTTAAGAAGATATGGAATCAGCAAACATCTAACTGATGTGTGTGAGAGCTTATATACATCAAGTAAAAAGTTGCATACGAACAAAAGCAGGTACATCATAGCCTCTCGAAGTAAATTCAGGAGTAAGACAGGGATGTGTGCTATCTCCCCTGCTTTTTATAA